AGAAATAGATTGCCTCATCTTCCTCCTGAGGAGCAGCTGGTGGGTGTTGAACTGCTGACCTTATTAGCAGCCAAATGCTTTCGTGAATGATAGGATGATTTGTTTGTCAAGGTTAGATAATTCTCAGATAACTCTTACTATTTATTTTTCACTCTCAGAAATAGGTTTCCTAGCACTTCACACGGAATTGAATTGAATATGTAGGTACTACATATAAATTATCTTTTGACTGCAAAGCTTTTGACTTAGAGACACTCCCCCTTGGTGATAAATTCAAAACTTTTCAACACTCAGTTGACATAGGGTCTTCTTGGACAAAAGGTTTGAATCCAAGGGTACTATGTATATATAACTTTGTGTTCATAACTGGAGCACTGTATGGTATCAGGAGGTCTTTAAGATGGTTCATTATCTTGACAAGTTGTTATCTTATGCTTTGGTGGTTTAATGATAAGTGTTTTTATCTAGCTAAAATTTCAAAGAAATGGTGTTATCAGTGGAAACATTCCAGTGTTTCCAGTGGAGTGTTGCTGAGCAACTTGGTTTTACAAGAATGTCTAAATAACATGCAGCTTCAGTAAATGTTTGACCAAAATTTGCCTTCCCTTTCCTATCTACCAGAGTAGTCAGAGGATTGTTCATGTGTGAGTAGATACGTTCAGTGTATAATAGTTAAATTAGTTTTTGTTACAACAAACTTGGATCTCTTGTTATATTTGAATATATTATGATTTTTATATCTACCACAGGTTGGACACCACATAATACATCAAAAAGCAATACACCAACGTGGATGAAAAGTAGAATTCTCAATACTACTCTTCAAGCAGCTTTAGAAGCAGTTACTTTTTTCTTTTAATATCATACCATCATTTTTATATATGTGTTATTTCTGTAAGCTGCCTAGACATGACAGTAAGGTAGAGTACAATCACTAAATAAAATTTAAAATCTTTCCAATGTGTGTGAATTATAGCTCTGTGTATGTTTTAGTGTAATCTGCATTTCCTGTTTCTACTTATAGGGTACAAACTTCTGAAGATAAGGTCTTTTTATTATTCATTATATTGTTACACCAATAGGTCATGGGTGGGCAAAGAATAATGTTCTTTATCATAATGAGATAATTAACAATCCTTGAAAAGTACCTTTTAAACTAAGATACTTTTTACCTAGAAAATGCAGAACATAAATGTTTATATGATGGAAAGTTTGGAAAGGAAAAATAGAATGCCAAATTTTGTTTTCACTAACTCAGATCAGATTAAAACAATGCAGTAATAAACCTGATGTAGGCAGGCTTTTGACGACAGTTTATTAACTCAGAGATGACTTAAGAGTTTAAGTTCCAACTGATCACACACATTGAATAGACTAATGCATCTACAAGTCATTGTGTCATCATCAGGAAACAATATAAAATTTGGTTGGATTTTCTTAACTATTTAACTTGTTATTGTTGTTGTTGTTATGTGCCGTCGAGTCAGCCCTGACTCATAGCGACCCCTCCTTGGGTTTCCGAGGAAGTAGGATTGCCCAACCTTCCTTCCGAGGAGTGGCTGGTGGGTTTGAACCGCCAGCCGTCTGGTTAGCAGGCAAGTGTCTTAGCCACTATGCTACCAGAGCTCCTACTATTTAACTACTATGTTGTTATGTGTCATTGCTTTGGTCCCAACGCACAGGGACCCTATGGACAACAGAAGGAAATGTTGCCTGGTCCTGTGGTATCCTCACAATGGCAGCCACTGTATCACTATAGCACACTGAGGGCTTCCTCTTTCCCACTGACCCTCTACTTTACCAAGCATGATGTCCTTCTCCAGGTACTGTTCCCTCCTGATAACATGGCCAAAGTAAGGGAGATGATGTCTCTCCATCTATGCTATCACATAGTTATGTTGTTGTTGTTATGTGCTGTGGAGTCAGACCCGACTCATAGCGACCCCTTCTTGGGTTTCTGAGGCAGTATCACTACGGAAGTAGATTGTCCAACCTTCCTTCCGAGGAGTGGCTGGTGGGTTTGAACCGTCAGCCTTCTGGTTAGCAGTCAAGTGCCTTAGGCACTATGCTACCAAAGCTCCTTGACACAGTTATACATTTTTAAAATCAATCCTACACCTCTATGATAATTGCATAATATGAAATTCTACCAATGAAATGACCCATGGATGAATAAACTATTCTATCAGTTTCAAAATATATATGTCCTTTTCTCCAAGTCCTGAGCTAATTAAGCAGCTGCACTTCCAAAATGCATAATAAAGACAATATAAACAGGAATGTATAAATGATATCATAATAGATATATCTGTCCAATTAGTAGCATGTAATTAAATGGAATTTAACCAAGGATTACTACTAGGCTTTTATGACTCCATCATTGTCATTGTTAGTTGCCCTCAAGTCGATTCTGACTCAGGGTGACCCCATCTTTATTGAAGCATACTGTCACATCTTTCTCTGTAGAGAGGCTGGTAGATTTGAACCTCAGATCTTTTTGGTCAGCAGCCAAGCACTTAAACACTGTGCCACCAGGGCTCCTTAAATTTAGTTCAGTTGGATTATTACAGTCTAAAAATTCTTACCTACATCTTGCTGATGTATGAGCCCTGCCTTTTGATGGAAAGAATTCTTAGGCCTTTGTCAGAATTGGTAAAATGAGCTGGTGTTGTAACTGAAGCCTTTTCATTGTTGTCTCCTTTGTAGCCAAAAGGAAAAAGAAATCAGAGTTAGATTAACATATTACAATACACTGACCAATATAATTTTCTTTAAAAAATTGCATTCTGGGTTTTAAAATCATTCTTCTTAAATAATTTCATTAGCAGAAGTTAATCTATAAAGCTGTAAAGATTCTGCAATATTATAAAAAGATTTTGCATTATCAGTGGTTTTAATTGTGCATGATTCAACATTTCTCAGTGTGATTTGTGATTCTCTGTTTCTCAGAGTGACCTCAAGCATGAGAATTACTGAAACTGTGTGTGGTAATGCAGATTCCCAGGTCAAATTCTTATTGGATCAAATGAAGATGTGATTTCTGAGTTTTAGACTCAAGAATATATAGTTTAAACAAACACCACATGAGATATTTCCCCCTGAAGTTTGGGTAGCATTGGTGTATGTGATTTTTAACTTCCTATATGAGTCGGGGCCGACTGGACGGCACATAACAACAACAACAACAATGCAAAGCATGGTGCCTAAGGCACTTGACTGCTAACCAGAAGGCCGGTGGTTCAACCCACCAGCCACTCCTCTTTAGGAATGTCGGGCAATCTACTTCCGTAGTGATACTGCCTCTAAGAGTCGGGGCTACTCTAAGGCACACAACAACATGCAAACATAAGATTTTGAAGGTTAATCGAAATGTTTACTTAATTTATATTTTCTATCTGAACCCCAGTTAATTTGAACAGATGAAAAATTCATTGTGAAAAGCACAATAAAAGTACAGAATTGTCAAGTGACCCATTAGTGTCATTAAAAGTATTATAACTGATTTATAGAAAATCTTTAAAAACTAAAGTAAAAAAACAAACAATTCCCCAAATTACTAATTATCTTTAAATAATATGATGTAAATGTGAAATTTAAAAACAAGTTTTTCAAAAAAATAATAATACTTCAATTTTTGTCAATTCCCTTCTCTGCAGAATGCTCTTTCTTCACATTAAAACAAACAAACTGAAGCTTCCTTAAGAAATATTGTTGGATGGCAATCAATAAAACTAATTAGCAAAACTTGTTGACGATGTTGCTAATGCCAAGTCACACAGGAAAAACCATTTTTGAATAGCTTAAATTGTTCAAATGTGATGGCATCGACTGAATTTTTCATGTTTTACTTCAGATTTTTAAGTCTAAGATTTGTTTATATATTTCTTTGCTTAAAATAAAACTACCTGGTATTAATAAAGTTTGTATGTACAAACGAAAAGTAAAAATTTTTGTTACAGGTGGTGTGATCAGTGTTACTAGTTAATGCTTTCACTCTTCTTCGGTTACCCTTGTTTTGCTGGTTGTTATCTTAAATTGGGCGAACTTTTGCAGGCAATGTTCTTGATTAATTACTATCATATGGCTTTTTCATTCATTCAATATTTATAGAGCGCGTACTATAGTCAAAGTGTTATAGGTAATAACAAATCATTTAAAAGTTAGTTCTGAGTAACAAGAGTTTGTAATCTGGTGAGAAAAATTTTTCTTCTACTCTACTGAGAATCTGTGAGACTTCGTTTACTACCAATGATTTGGTTGTCACTGAAACACAAGAATCTGTGCCTAATATTTTGATTTATACAATATAAGTTCCAATAAGGTATTAAGAACACTGCTGTGAGCAGAGGAGATCTGGGGTGAGTCTTTGGCTACAGCTTAGCTTTCATCTATAAAGCAAAGACTTTGGAGACGATTTCTGATTGGAACAAAATCAACCTAAAACTCCACGATTCTAATTTTCCTATGCTCTTAACCTAAAAAGATGATTTATGGAATAAAGTCATGCAATTAGTACAGGTCGCTGAATGTATACAAACGATTCTGAAGCTTTAAAAGAGAAATAAATCTGAGCAAAGGCAGCAGAAATGCAACTCAATGAGTGACCGACGAGTAATCTTTATAAACCGAGAACGCTCCAACAAACTTCACGGCACAGAAATTAATGACCACTGGACATAGTGATTTTCTGCCCAGAAAGTTTTTTTTTAAGTCTTTCCAAGTTTTCCAAGTCGTTGCGTGGTATCAGCTCGCCTTGGCGAAACTAGCAAGAGCAAGGAGGCGAGGGTGAAACCCACACTCACCGACGCTGCCCCTCCTCTCTGCTAACTCCTCCTTCCCACAGAAAAATGCGTATCCAGGCAACGGCGGGCCGCGGCGTCACTTCCTGCCATTTAAACTCGGGTCCCCACCCCTCGCTGCCCCTTCTTTTCGCTTTCACTCCCCCTCCCCTCGGTGGTGGGCTTCATTCACACTTCCCCGGGCTTGGGGAGGGGGCGGAGGCCTGGCGTGCCGCGGTGCGTGGAGTCGGGTGGACGCCGCGCACCTGTTGTTTGCAGGAGGCAGCCACCTTCGTCCGCTCTCGGCGGGCGGCGGCAAGAACGGCCGCTGTAGAGCCGACTCGGCAGTTGGCTGCGGGCGAGGACGGCGAGTGGCCGTGCGCGGGGGCCGGACCACCGCGGTACGGGGACGCGATGGCGGCCGCGGAGCCCGCGAGCTCCGGCCAGCAGGCGCCGCCGGGGCAGGGGCAGGGCCAGAGGCCGCAGGCACAGCCTCCTCAACCGCAGCCCGCGCAACAGCAGCCGCCTCAGCAGCAGCTCGGGGGCAGCGGTAGTGGCAGCAGCAGGCACGAGAAGAGCCTGGGGCTGCTCACCACCAAGTTTGTGTCGCTGCTGCAGGAGGCCAAGGACGGCGTCCTCGATCTCAAAGCGGTGAGCGCGGGAGGCGGGGACGGGGGCGTATTTCTCATCCTGTGGCCCTAGGAGAAGCCAACCCCTTGCATCTTGTGGTCTGGCGAAGTGATGTGGACGCGCCCTGCGGGGACTCGGTGACTAGCAGCCATGTGGCCTGCGCCTGGGCCCCGAACTCCGGGATGGGGGAGGGACGAGGGACCAGGATGGCCTCGTCCGGCAGCGTAACCAATGGGGCTGGAGCGCCGCGCCCGGTTCTTGACAAAGAGGCCCGGGACCTCCAGCGCCCCCGCGTGGTTCTGTCTCCCGGAGCAGAGACGCAATGATAGCCTGGCTGCTCCCAGTCCACCTGTGGCCGAGGCCCGGGGGGTACCCAGGCGCAGGGCCGGAGACACCGCAGGACTGATTTTTCTGTTGGGAAGTAATGATTTTAATATGCTATTACAACTGGGATCGTGTTCCTGTTGTAAAGGAAAAAAAAAAAAAAAACCCGGTTCTGTCACCTTTTCCAGATGAAAGAGAAAGGTGAAAAAGTTTTTTTCACACTCTTCCTCGTTAAAATAGTAGTAATAAAAACTCTTGTACATTTCTTTTCATCATACTGATGGTTAGGAAAAAATACTTGATTTGTGACTCAAATTTGGCATCAGTTAGAGATTTCTAAGAGTGCTATTTGCCATCATACAAAAAGGGGATGTATTATAACTTTCACCCAAAGAGGTGGAAGCGCTCCGTGAACGCTCTGCTGTTTCGCGGGAACATGCGCTTTGCCCTCTACTACGGTTACGATTTTTCAAACAGCAACATGCATCTAAAGCTGTTGGGTCATGCAGAATAATTGAACAGTTCAAGACAGGATTTGGAAGGATTCCACAGCCAAGGAAAAAGAACGTGTTCACGTGAATTAAAATACAGCCTGCGCACCAGGTTTAGGCAGGAAAACCAAAACCAAACCCACTGCTCTGGAGTTGATTCCAAGTGATAGCCACCCGAAAGTTCCAAAGTTTAAAAATAAGCCTAGCCACTCTGTGATCACCACAGATCCTTAACTACAGGCAAGCCTAGAAGTGGCCTTGTTTGGAGCTCTGATCCTAGCACCCAGGGGAGTGCCCAGACAACTTTAGTTGGCTTGAGACTTGGTTTTTCACTGCATTACCAAGGCTGTCCATAAAGCAACGGAAGAAGCTGCAGCTGAGCAGGGAGGCTCCCTCCTGTACTGTTGAATGCAGGGACCTCAGAAACCCCGCCAATGACGATTCATGACGATTCAGTGACGATCCGCAGGGGCGGATTACTCAGTGAGCAAGGTAAGCACGGGTTTAGTTATGTTTACCTACTACTCAGTAGTTTCACATGGATTTCACCACAAAAAGTGAAACTGTTCACTACGGAGTAGTAAGCGCAAGTAAACGCTTACCTTGTTGCCTGGGTACTCTGCCCTTGCCAGGGATTGTGAATTTGAAAAGTGGCTTTGATTCTGTGGGAAGGTGCCCCTAGGATTGAGGGAGACACATGCCAGGCATACCTTAAAGCAGAATCTTTAATGTGTTCGAAAAAAGTGAAATGGTGCACTACAGATTAGAAAGTAAGGACAAGTAAGCCTGTGCGGAGCTCTGGTGGCAAAGTGCCTAAGGTATTTGACTGCTAACCAGAAGGCTGGAGGTTCAAACCCACCAGCCACTCCTCCTCGGAAGGAAGGTTGGGCAATCTACTTCCGTAGGGATACCCTCTCAGAAACCCAGGGAGGGGTCACTATGAGTCGGATCCATCCGACTCGCTGGCAGTGATTTTTTTTTTTTTTTTTGGTTAAACTGGTCATTTGCTAGGGGCCCTCTTCCAGGTGTATCCTAGTGGGTGGCACCTCAGTTCCCTGGATGTAGAATTATTGTTATTGTAATTCACATATTGTACGCTAGGAGTTCTGGTGGCGTAGTGCCTAAGGCACTTGACGGCTAACCGAAAGGTTGGCGGTTCAACCCACCAACCCTCCACGGAAGGCAGACTGGACAACCTACTTCCATAAAGATTTACTGCCTCAGAAACCCAAAGGGGGTTGCTATGATTTGGAATCCACGCGATGGCAGTGAGTTATTTTTTTTCATACAGTGTGAGCATTTTTGGCATTTTGGAACTTTGGGAAGTAGTTTCTACTATTTTTTTTTTTTTTAAAGTTTTCCTGGAATTATTTTCCCATCTTTGGAAATACCTTGTTCTCTTTTTATTACCCCATGACCCCCCCTTCCCCATAGTAGTATTTAAATTGTGGTGAATTAAAATGGATTCTGTTTCAAGACTTTTGTAGGAAATCATTAGGTCATCAGAGAGAGCAGGAATGTTACAAAACACAGGTTGCAAACTGCTGTTCAAATGATAGATATTCAACTATAGCTCCTAACTTTAGGCACAGCCAAGGAGGAAGTATGAAGTTATCAAGATTGACCTCTGAGGGTTGACCTTGAGGGCTTCTCCCCCAGCTTGCTCTGGGAATATGATAGAACATTGCCCTTGCTTTTTTAGATCTCATCTTTGCCCATGTAATTGATCTACAGACATTACAGAGGCAGTGAATAGGATGTAGAGTTTGATAATTCATTACATTGTTTCATTTATCCTGAAGTCTAACAGTGCAAAGGTTTCTGCAGTTAATGTTAGGTCTCATTATATTAACAAGTTTGTATTTCTAGAGAAGTTTGAGTATCATTCTTTCATATATATACATATTTATGAGAGCATATATATATTTTGTTTACATATTTTCATTTATTTGCATATACATACATGTAAAACTTGTAAAAGTTTATATTGAAATCTTTCCAGTGGTGTTTCTTACTGTACACCATAGTAAAGAATCATTAAGATATTTTTGATGATGAATGTTGATAAACTAGCACCAACAATTATAAATGTCTTCTAATTTGAAATTAGAAAACCATGTTTTTGTTTATTTATTTATTTTCCTTTTTATTATATACCTACTTTAGGGATGTATAGGAGCTCTGGTAGCATAGTGCCTAAGGCATTTGACTGCTAACCAGAAGGCTGGTGGTTCAAATCCACCAGCCCCTTCTTGGAAGGAAGGTTGGGCAATCTACTTCTGTAGTGTTACTACCTCGGAAACCCAAGGAGGGGTCGCTGTGAGTCGGGGCCAATTCCACATCACATAACATGTATAATTCAGCATAAGTTAATGATATTTTTGGGTTATACACTTGGCACTTTAAAAATAGGCAGCAAAAGAATATATTTTTGTGAATATAATATGGAAAAAGTTTTGGGTAGTGAAGATGACATTTACAGAAATATGTCAGTCTTCACATGAAATAGCCAAGTGTTTGAGACCATATAGATGGTATTTCTTTTCTGACTTATGACACAAAGTGTTGAAGAATAAGAACATATAGCATTCTGTATCTTAATGATAAATTTCTTCTCGGTAATATAATTGAGGACATAATTTAACAGAGTTTATAAATTTTACACTATTCTGGTATAATTTAACAATTAGGAGAGACTAGAAATACCTTCACGAGCCCTGGTGGTGCAATGGGTAAGTGCTCAGCTGCTAACCAGAAGGTTGTCAGTTTGAACCCACCCAGCGGCTCCATGGGAGAAAGATGTGGTTTGCTCCTGTAAAGATTACATTCTAGAAAACCCTGTGGGAAAGTTCTACTCTGTCCCATGGGGTTACTGTGAGTTGGAATGAACTTGATGACACCTATCAACAACAGAAACACCTTGGAAATGATTTGAAAAGTTAGTCAACATCTTTCTAGTCTAAGTTTTATTTGTCATAGTGAGGGTGGGAGTAGTTATTGTCTCTTCCTGTGACTGATGGACTGAGAAGTTAGATTCTTTATTCCAGTGACTGATGGACTGAGAAGTTATATCATAGTCCTTTCACTATGTGGTTGGCCAATTTATGCTGATAATAGCTAATGTTTATTGAAAGCTTACTATGTGCTAGGTATTAAAATACCCATTGCCATTGAGTCAATTTTGACTTATAGCAACCCTGTAAGAGACAGTGTAGGACTGGCCCATAGGGTTTCCAAGGCTGTAAATCTTTACAGAAGCAGACTACCATCTCTTTCTTTCGTGGAGCAGCTGGTGGGTTCAAACCGCAGACTTTGTGGTTACCAGTCGCACCATGGCTCCTTATTTTGTATAGGTTATCTAATGTCATCGTCTAACACCAGCAGCAAAATACAGTTTAGGAAACGGATATCAAAAGAAGTTAAGTAACTTGCCCCAAATCCCACAGTAAGAAGTGACAGAGCTAAGATTTGATGCCTGGACATTTGTTCTCATTCTTCATGCTACACTGACTTCCAGTATGCCTGAAAATAAAATTATTTACATTTTTCATTTGTGTTGTAAGGGCTTGGGAATCAGTGGGGTCTCAGAGCACCTATGTTGAAAATGAGGGTACTGACAGCAAATTCCACATGTTCCTTTGTTTTTGTTATGTGCCCTTGAGTCGTACCTGACTCATAGTGACCCCTCCTTGGGTTTCTGAGGCAGTATCACTATGGAAGTAGATTGCCCAACCTTCCTTCCGAGGAGTTTGGTGGGTTTGAACCACCAGCCTTCTGGTTAGCAGTCAGGTGCCTTAGGCACTACGCTACCAGAGCTCCCACACATGTTCCTTTATGGATTATATTATTTCACAAACTAAATGTTTTTTCCGATCTAGTAATCTGAAGTTCTTTTAGAATATTCATGACTAAGCCTCGATATACTGTTTTGAAAATTCCTGTTAACTAAGTTTCTATATTGTATTTGTCATTTTGGTGCCATTTTGAACTTTTGAAAGCACAGTCCAGATTGCTTATCTCTTTTATTGTAATTGTTTTAGATATAAATTGCCAGAATGTTATCTGGGTTAAGTGATAAAGCATTTGTAGTGTTATAGTTCTTATCTCACAGCTTCCTGACTCATACCACTTATGATAAGCTGATAACACAAACCTAGGAAGAAATAAATAATCTAAAGGTTCTCAGTGGGAGCTCTGGTGGTCTAG